ATCAACATTATATGTCCTAAGTTTATTATTTAATTTTCTTTATAATTTAAAACCTTTGAACTTAGTGTCTTTGGTAGAAGACACACTACAGTTTTTTTTATATATTTTTGTGTTGTAAAAATTTGTCATTAAGTTGTGTTAAAAGACTATCTAAGAAAAGTATAAGCACTATCAATCTACCTTTTCTATTTCTATGCAATATACAGACGGCTGTGATTGAAACATTTACATAATATTCTATCTAGACATTAACAGCTATTATACCACACTATTATGCTGATACAGACATACAGTAGGTTATATAGTACGTTGATAGTCGTGGTGTGACAAGAGTGTGAATGCGATTTAATAAATCATAACTATTACAAATAATAATGTAAAATATTAATGATAATAACATTTTCTTGGTCCGATTAGTTAACCTCTTCCTCTTCTTTGAGAACGCTAATGGTGAATATAATTGACAATACGCATATATATATATATATATATTATATGCAAGGCTGGGCTAGTTTTTTTTAACTCTTTAAGTTTTTATTTTTTTATTTTTTAATTTTTTTATTTTAAAATAATTAAGTTAAATTAAATTAAAAGTTACTTATATATTTTTCGTTAACTCGTTAAGTTAAAAGTTAGCTTTGAAAAAAAAGTAACTTAACTTAGTTTAAAGTTAAAATTTCCTAATTTGCAAAAATAAAAAATTGCACACATAATATTAATTTTTTAACGCTCAAGAAAATTACTGGGAAAATTTAAAATGATACATAAAAGTATTAACTAGCTATCAAAAAAACCTACTGTACTAAAATAAATCTTAGTCCTGAACTCATACTCAAATCAATTTACAATTTTAATAATGAAATTAAATTGGAAATTATACCACAGTTGTTTTATTAATCCCCATCAACACTCGATCTTATGGTACTTACTATTTTCACAGAATATTTTTAGGATTTCCATGGGTTTATAGCGTTTATACAATAATAATGTTATAAAAATATAATAATAAAATATAGTCCATATAATGACTATTTAAGTTATTTTTCATATTATTTTCGTCTACAGGAAATTCATATTAAAATAGTAAATTATAAATATTCTAAAAACTTATTTAATAATTTTCATTATTCTTTGCACTAAAATTAACTTAATTTAGATACTTTTAAATAAAATTAACTTAAAGTTAACACGTTAATCTTAACAAAAAGTAACTTATTAAGTTATTATAATATTATAATTTGTAAAAACAGTGACGAGTTAATTAACTTAATTAAAATTAACTTAACGTTTTAACTTAATTTTAACTTATAACTCGTTAATCCCCAGCCTAGATAATAAGTAAAAGTCTGATAATTTAAAATAAACCTATAAGAAAATTCGTTTTTGTTAGCTGCAATAGAGGTTAGTAATGATTATTAATTCTTTAAAGTTTAATAATTGTTTATTGCTTTAATTTCAAATAAGTTATTAAAAATATACTAAAGATCAGTGGTTGCCAAACTTTTTTGATTTAAGCCTACGTACAGTTAAAAATAAATTATCGCACCACCCACGAATAAATAAACAAAATATGACCTATGTTATAAGTTTACAATAATCATTTAACTATTTATTATTTAAATATTAAAATATTTATACTGATACGAGAAGGTTGTATAAAAATAAATTTTTAGAATTTTTACTCCACACCGCTAACCGAGGTTCCCGGTTAATGTTCACTCCTCTCTTGCAGCGCATAGATTGGGAACTGTTGCTATACGTAGATCGCTTTTTAAATAATTGTTTACACTGATGTTTGAACTATATTGTTAAAAAAGAATTTGAATGCAAAAATTAATACTTTGTAATTTTATAAAAAAAAAAATAAAAAAATACTATAAATTATAATTTTGCAATTTAAGACGATGCATGAGAAAATTGCAAACTTTAAATAAAATGACACAAAGTGTTTTATTTAGAATTTTTCAGTACCGTTGGTATAGGCACTGCATGTAAATTTATCTCTGAACGTTATGTATTCTGTATTTGTAGGAGACATCTACGAATTTTTAATTTGTGTTTTTTATAATTGTCGAAAAACTTTAAAATTTGTGAATTTTTAGTTTTTATTAAGTTTTCTCAAAATTTGTTATATTTTAGGAATGAAGTATTTTCAATGCATTAGTCTTGCAGTTATTTATTTTTATTTTTTTAAGCTAAACTATGATTGACATAATAAAGATAGTTTTATGTTTAACTGGCTTAAAATTATTTTTGTATTATGATTGGTCTGATCCATAAAGTTTATAGAAAAGTTCAATCATATTATAGTGTAATAGAAATAAAATAAAGAAAAACATATTTCCCATAACTGACCTCTAATTATGAATTTTGTGTTTATATGTGTTTAGTGTGGCCCATTACCATTTTGACAAAATAAACGAGAGTAACAATAACAAAAAAAAATAACAATTTATTTTTTGTGACTTTTTTTAACAAAAAAAACTATAAGATGCTAATGTTACTCAATAATTTGAATATACATGTTTTCTTTCAAATAATGATTTTCATATTTATCACATTACTATTATTATCATTTCATTATAATTATTATTATAATTATAAAAGTACTCACAGTAATATTTTTGAAAACATATGAAATAAATCAAGCACAATAATTATTGTATGACATGTCATCTACAGTAAATTATTTTTTATAATTGGCTTCACTGATTTGTTTCCATTACCGTTTCATCTTAATAGCAACATTTAGGTTCCTTTATTTTACTCTTAACTCTGACCACAGTATAAAAAGAGTTGAGATCAACATGTTTCCACAGGAATAAGTATCGCGATCGACTTTGAATAATTTCAACGGTTGAAAACATCTTTGACGATAATTAGGTAAATAGCTGCATAACTACCTAATAGTCGATGTTTATGTTAAGTGACACTTAGATATATTAAACTTTTAACGTTCAACACAATTATAGAAAAATACTCTAAGCACATTTTAACAGTCTTATTATGTCATAATAAGTATAAATTAATACATATTATTGTAGTGTCAATACTTATAAACTAATAAATTCTGGTCATAATGTCATTCGTGGTTTTATAAATACATTTAACCGTATTTTTAAGTTTTCATAGTTGCGTGATGCATTTTAATACTATAATTTATTGTATTATTATATTCTATACACAAGGGCGGTTAACTATTTAATTGATTATTATGACAGTTGTATACATAGGCGTGCGCAGACCTCTTTTTCAGGATATGCCAAAGGCTGCCACTGCCTACCTCCCCCCCCCCCTTAAACTGAAAGTTAATTTAAGCGTTCGAAATTCTGGTCTTAATAACTATTTAATTTAAAATTTTAATTTTTTTTTCCCCGAAAAAAGTGACTGAATAACCATTTCTTAATCGTTATAAATATCTTCATAATTAAAACTTAAAATAAATTACAAAAAAAAAAATCTAAATACATAACACTTGAAATGGTTTGAGTAATACGTTTAAATAGAGTAAATTAATAAAAACGTAATTATATACTTAAATGAAAAACAAACTAAATTTGATAAATAATCAAAATTAATCATAAAACGATTCTGCGTACAATTAAGTTATTAAATCACCGATAATGTTTTCGGGATTTTAATTTATAGCTATTTCTTGTTCTGTAGTTGATAACTATTTAATCTCGCTTGAATTATTTTACTTCTTAATTTCATTAACACATTAAATCGTTATTATAGTATATGATTTGTGATTCAAAAATAAATTAAACTATCTGGGACTGAATATAAAAATATAATAAAAATCATAATGTAATACAAAATCACATAATATACACAAGACCAAATATGTCATAGTTTTTATTTATTTTTTGTAATTTTAGAAAGGAGGCTCTATGTTAAAGGTATGCAGTTGCATACCTTGCAAACCCTCTGTGTACGCCTATGGTTGTACAATGTACAGCAATAAATATCCAATAAATAACAAAATTAATAGATACTCGATGCGTTCGTATGTGATTGTGTACACCCACCAACAAAATGCATAACTTTACATTTATGGTTCTACGAAAACGTTAATTTTATAAACTTTGCCATTCTGTAGTGTTCCATATCAAATAGATATATTTAATTTCAATGATAATTTATAAAATCCGGTGTTTTTTTTCGTTCATAAATTTTTCTGTGTTGGACGTCAAATGAATTTAAATATTTAATGATTTGCTGTACACCTAGTTTGTATTCATAACGGCTATTTCGGTGAAGCAATTATTTGTTTATTGTAATTATTGACAATTCATAAATATTTAGTAAAAACATAAATATTGAACAATTAATACCTGAATCGGCAACGGTCTTAACTTAAGATATATAGTAATACAAAAACGATAAGATAAACGAGTATTTTATAAACAAGCAAACATATACTGCATAATAAAATTATTGATGAGTGGTGTTCTCTATTTAAAATAGTGATGCATGTGTAAACGGAATTTGTTCATAATACTTGATTTTGGTATTATTACAAGTCTTCTTTTTTCAATGGTATTTCAGCCGAAGTTGAAATAGAATTCAAAAAATATACACTACATCTACATTCGCTTATATAGTCATAAAGCGTAATAAATATAATATAATTATTTGTAAATCAGTTTTAATATAATTTCGTTTTATTGGTAGGATTGCATTATTATTGGTCTTGATATTATTTTTTAAACCATGTCCTCCATCAAAATTCAAAAAAATCGTTTTGAAAATAGTAAGTATAAATATCAATAATTTAATAGTATATAAAATTTGTATTTGAACCGAAAACATTTTGACATTTTAATTATTTAAAAAGCATTAAAGCAAATGTGTAAATCGTAGACTCCGAATGTAAATTATTAATTAAAAAGAATCAAATACGAGTGTTCAATTGTGTTGATAATTGTATGCAAATTTAAAATCGATTAAAATGTGTACTGTTAAAACAATATGAACTTCAATATGGTATTTTTCAGAAGCGTCTGATTTGGATGATGAAATGGAATTTAAAAATACTGAAAATGAAATAAAAACACCAGATTCAAATTATTTACTCGATAAAAGTGAATGCCAAATCAAAGTAATAAATTTATATTGATTGTGAATGAATCATATTATTAAGTAAAAGTTTTTTTTTTTTAGGAATCTAAAGTATCACGGATTCTTATCTTTACAACGATAACTATTAGCTTAGGATGTTCAATTCCTACCGGTTATAACACCGGAGTAGTCAATGCACCTGCGTTGGTAAGTATATTCCAGTTACCTTAATTAATGATCTTTATTCGATAATTTTAATTTGAAATTATATAAATATTGAAAAAAAAAACAACAAAATATTGACAATAATAATTAACCTTTAGGTTATGAAACAATGGTGTAATGAAACGATCGTGAACCGTTATGGTGTACACTTTACTCCTACTCAGCTCGATGGCCTATGGTCGATACTGGTTTCCATATTTTTGTTGGGAGGTATTGCTGGTGGTATAGCTGGTGGGAAACTGGCTGATATATTGGGAAGGTATGTTGAACTGATTTGAAATTCGTGACTCGTCACAAATTTTAGACGTGATATTGTGTCTTACGATCACGAATCATTATTCTTGGTCCAGCTCTAAAGGTACCGGTTGTTCGAAGATAGGTGATAGTAATACGCTGGCGCCAAAGCATCCTACTGCGTTGGCTACAAAGTCTTCAATGTTGCTTTCCAACTCCCATAACACGCCATCATTATCTACGTCTATGTGCGTAATTGTACGACAGTCAATACTCTTTTTCACCTAGAACGTATGTTTTTACTGAAACCTATCGTACAATAGATACCATTGATGATAATCATACGCTAAACGTGAATTTACCAACATCATGTTTTCTTCCAGAAATCCGTCCCTCGCGTCCCAGCTGTACAAATGTTTCAACCCTTTGATGCGGAAATATATCACCGACCCGTAAGCCGATCCTAGAATAACCATTTTGCAGGGTTTCCGACCGACACTCACTATGCATCTGGGATTGATTCGTTTCCGCAAGTCTTTAGTGCGCACCTTGAACAATTCCGCACTTGACAAATAAGTAAAATATATGTAACTCGAATTCGACTTTTCAACCAAGACTAGATAGAACACGTCCTCCGCAGTAGAATCTGTACAAGTGATTGCCGAAGTACTTGGCAATTTCACTTTATGCCCTTCTTTACCTTGGACGTTCCATACGATTATCGACCGAGTGCCTCCGTCTCCGATGTAAATAATGGGTTTGTCATCGGTGATGTATTCGACTACTAAGAATTGTAATCGACTACGTACGCGACATATCAACGACCTAAGTGTTATCGTGTGTATTATCTGAAATAATAACAATCGTTTTGAGCCATAAATATTCGGATAATCAATGCAGTAACAAGTTCTAACGTTAGCGCATTTTAATGACGACTATACTCTAACAGTTGTAGAAATTTAAATGAACAACATTATGCATCTTATTCAATTAAATAATAAGAAAATGCATCGATGAATTCCTTCGATAAATGCAACAGAAGATTATATTATACATACATTATATTCGATAAAAGATAAAAGAAACCCATGTTGTTTTAAACGTAGATAATATGTTGTTGATACTTACGCGTCCATTGCCATAATCGATTCCTAATACTTTTGCTTCGCACTCTTTTTTTGGTTTCTCTTCTAAGGTATTCACCACTCCTATGTCCAACACCCAAAGTATACCGTTCTGGCCCATGTATATATCTACTGCGTTTACAATTGCTTTGTGGTCGTCTACGACGTTCTTCTCCAGCGTAGGAAACGGTCGAACATAATTGTGACTCTTATCTTTACCGTTGAGTAACATATGGCCCAACGTGAACGGGACGCCTTCTCTGAAACATATCTCTATATCAATAATATTGATGTTCGCATTCCGTTGGCTTCATTTTGAATTATGACATATTCGATTTAGGTACTTCGTATATTACAATATGAGTATAATATACAATAAATGGATTTACTTGTAACGTGGTGAAACGAAGAACACTTGATTGCCGCAAATTTGAGCCCGGGTAAAAACGATATTTTTCGGTATAAAATGTTTATTGTATGTATAGTCTGCTTCCACTTTTTTATTCGGCCATTGAATGTAATGCCCGTTTAATTCATACAACCTGCAGATGTCCGATGAATTGCACACAGTATTTTGAGAGAAAACATAAATATTGGCATAACACGTTATAAATAAACCAAAATAAAGTTCCATAATACTACCATAATTCAAGATACGTGTGATTCATTAAAATTGAAAATTGTTTAACTTTTTTAACGTTGCTTTAGTTACAACATACAATATATAAATTATAAATTAAGATGGTATGTACCATTATTTTTATTGTAAACAAATATTTTTTTTCCATCGCATTTTTAATGCCTCTTCTACAACTTGTGTTAAAATAATATAACAAATAACAATTTTATTCATTAAAATTTTTGTATAATTTCACAACGTACAATCAAATATGTAAGATCTATGTTATAAATATGATTTCATTTTATTTTTTTCAGGAAAGGGACTTTGAAACTTATATACCTGATTTACTTAGTGTCTGGCGTCCTATTTATTAGTTGTAAAACATTAGCCATGGTAGAATTATTTTTTATTGCTCGTTTATTATCTGGTCTATCGGCTGGTGAGTTCCATTTGTTACATTTACCCTTATCTCTAGAAATATACATTTTTAAAATTATTTCTAATTTTAAATTTAACTTATTATAATATTTATTTTAGGACTCACGATGACAACGGTACCAATGTATTTATTAGAGTTGTCTCCTTCAGATAAGAAAGGTATTTTTGGTGTCATGTTTACAGTTGGTCTGAACTTTGGTTTGTTATTTTCACAGCTCTTAGGCTTGGAAAGTATTTTGGGTTCGTTAAATGTTTTTACGACAAATTCAATAATAATAAAATATTATAATATTTATCGATAATAAATTATTATCGGCTGGTACTGAATTGGTTCCCGAGTCCCAAACTAAACAAAAGTATTTTATTAAGTATATTTCTATAGAACTGGTTCCCGTTTAAATTTATTTAGTTAGTTTTCACTTTTTATTTATGCAGATTATCCTTCCCAATTTTATAGGCTTAGGGCTATCAACTTTAAAGTAGGTTTGGTTAAAAATGTACGTTAGCGATCGTTGAATTGGAAGTTAACCCGTTATCATTTAGTATATAAAATAAAATAATTTAAAATTTAAGATTGTTAAGCTTAAACAAACCTTGTTAATTTGAAACGATCTTTTTTCAAATATTCTAAGTGTAAGTTTCCCATTAACGTATTCAGTTATACAATCGTTATCTTTATCGATCGGGGATATAAAATGTGTGAGTGAGTAAAAAATTTCAGTGATATAAAAATGTATTACTACATTATTAGTTATAGAGTATAGGTACCTTTCTATTTTATACTATCTACCTGATTTATATTTTGTACCAATTATATATACATAAGATTTCATATCGCAAAATAATGCTTAGAAATGAAAATTGAAACTATTTAATCTTAACACAAATAGGAACCAATTCAGCTACTTCTTTATTATCAAATTATTCAAATATATTACTGAAAATTTTAATTGAAATACGTGTGTGTTATTTATTTAGGAAGTGAATCATTGTGGCCATTCTTATTCAGTTTTTATGCTAGTCTAGTATTGTTGGTATTTCCTACCTTGTCGTTTATTCCTGAAAGCCCTAAGTACTTGTATACTATACGCAATGAACGCAGCAAAGCATTATCTGGTACAAATATTTAATCGTATATAAAAATAATTTGTCGTCAAATTATTGGGCTATAAACAGGGCCGTCATCTGGGGAAGGGGGGAACGGAACCATTTTCCCCAAGGCCACAGTCTAAAAAAAATCTAGAAAAAAGACTGATTGAAATGGTGCCGTGATTTGATAACTTAAGTTAAAGCTTATAAATGTAAGAAGTGTCACAAATGTGTGATTTCCTCCTCATGTTTCTATTCATGGTCAACTGTTGTAAATTATTTATATTACTTATTGTACTTACTGTATAGATCGTAATTTTTCAAATAAAGCTAAATTATTTAAAAAAAAAAAAAAAAGAGATTAATTAAAAATACTTCGCGTTTCCCATTAGTAACTATTTATACTGATATGTTATTTCCATACTATTTTTGTTTATAAAATATTAATAAATCGAATTAAATAAAATTATCTTAATTTTAATTAATTAATTAAATTAATTTTAATTTAATCTAATTAATTAAATTAAAATTTAATTTATTTATTATATTTAATATATTAATTTTTAATTTATATTTAAGCGTTATAACAAGTTATACATTTTCAGTTATTCTAATTTCTAAATAATTATCACTGTAATTTATTATACTTATTTCTGGAGTATGAAGAATGATATAATTTTATTCAAATTTACATAGAAATTCTTTATCACAAGTACTGACGCGACAGCATCCAAGTTCTTATTTTTTATAGCTGTTTATAAATTATCTGGGAATAAATTCGATTTTTAATTAAATGTGATAATTGATAATGCATTGTGGAGAAGTTATTATAAATGTAATTCATTGTATCGATGCATTTAAATGACTTTGATAGGTTAAAGTTTGGAAAAATATATTTACCGACATTTTGCAAACTCGGTGAGTATTTTTTTCACGCTAGTATACTATTGTGATGATCGAGGGGCCCCATAATTTTAATCCTAAGGACGGCCCTGGTTATATATACAAAAGTTTCTTTACATATTGATTTGTATATACATTGATTTATGGTTAATCAGTTATTCGGACATGGAATTAAAAAAAAATTTTCATGACAATGCCCCTAAGTAATTTTTTAAATATTTGTTTTAATGAGTCAAATTTTATTTTCAGAATTAAGTCGGTTGAGAGGTAAGCCAATATCTGACGTAAGTTGGGAATTAGAAGATTTATTCGCTTCCCCTGAAGTATGGACATTAAAAAGAATATTACTTGAGCCTGCAAGCTTTAAAGCCCTAATTATTACGTGCACGTTAATGTTGGGACAACAACTATCTGGAATTAACGTTGTAATGTTTTATTATTATAAAAATGTTACAGTTCATTTTTTCCAGTTATATATTTGTTTATTGTGAATAAAAATATTTCTAGGTGTTTTATTATTCCACGGAAATATTAATAAAATCTGGATTAAGTGTGTACTGGGCGCAGTATGCAAACTTAGGCGCAGGATCTGTAGGTTTCATTGTCACAGTGATGTCGGCTCTGTTTATCGATAGGTTTGGACGTAAATCATTATTGTTATTCAGTGTCACTGTTTCTGTGGTCATGCTATCGGCGATATTGACTTCAATAGTTGTACTGACTCATGTAAGAATTTTGACACATCATACGATTTATCATATGATAGAATATTACGATAGATATTAATGTGTTGACATTATTCAATTTAGAATTCGATAACTTGGGTATCCTATTTGTTGATAATATTCATTTTTGGTTACGTTTTGTTTTACGGATTTGGATTAGGACCCATACCATTCTTTATTGGATCAGGTTAGTCATAACGACAATTATATTTAACACTTATGAACACAACACCAACTTCGTTATTTATATGTTTCAGAATTAACAGATGTTGGACCGAGACCTATTATAATGTCTGCTATGGCTGTTTCTAATTGGACTGGAAATTTTTTGGTTGGACTAACATTTCCTTTCATAAACAACATGATCAAAGAATATTCTTTTTCTCCGTTCGTGATGTTCACCATACTTTTAATTGTATTTATTTGGTTAGTATTAAATATTTTTATTTAAAGCCAATAAATATTTAGTTGAAAATTGAAAAATATTAATTATTAAAAGAAATTAATAGAAATAAAATAATAATAATAGCAAAGGTACTAATAAATATTAAGCACTGAAATTAATTACATAAAATCTATACATAGGAAAGTGGTTCCAGAAACCAAAATATCTTCCAGTGGACTAAGATCAAACAACGTATAACAGCCAGGCTGGAATTGATTTCAGCTTTAATACAAAATAAGTTTCACTATGATGGTAATATAAAAAATTCGTATACTATTACCACTGATTATAGAATAAACTATTATATTATCAATGATATTACTCAATTATTTAAGATATTTTATTTACTTTACCTACCGTAATATCATAATAAATGGTATATATGATTATATTTATACGTATATGTTTATAAATTATATTGTTTTAAAACATATTATCATCGGAATCTATGGTTACTGATTTGGTGCCTCTGTCTAATCACGGATAACATGTAGTAATTTAGATCTATTTTATTTTCAATGTACTCATTGAGTATTACCATTGATTATAAAATTATAGTATTTATAATCAATGGTATAACTAATGAGTATAAAATGTATATGTATTATAGTATTGTGGTTAAAATATTTTAAAAATTTAATTTAATTCTACTTAAAGCCAAATCTGTCCAAGATTTACTTTTGCGCATTTTCATTTTTTTCCTTTAAATTTCCAAAAAATTAATAAAATAACTTTGAAATAATTTTGTTAGGAAAAATTTTTATTTTTTTATTTTTTATTAAAACTTTGTGTTACTATTAGTTTCAAAAGTTAAGTGATGAAATACAAGATAATAATTAAATTACTTATAAATAAGAAAGACAATATAATATTTGATTAGATTAAAAATCCTGTATGGTTTAAAAAGGATAAAATGTACAGTACAATATATTTTTGTTGAACCGAAAAAATATTTTTGGTAACGAAAGGAATGTTGGAAAGGTTTAAACGGGAAATAAGTTGGACCCGTTGAGTTGATAGACTGGGACAGGAGAAGATTAGGTGGCTAATATCACAAACCATAGGGTCATTGTGGAGCGTGCAAAGAGAAGAATCATTCAGAGCTAGTTTGAAAGAATGGGAAAGGAGTAGTGTGTGACCAAAACGAAGATGGGAGAATGAAGATATACTTTTCCTGGAGAGATTAAGGTTGTGAAACCAGAGTAGTGGTAAGATTGATGAAGATATATTTCTATACCAAGTGGCGAAATGGAGTGGGAGTAATCCCCAGTGTGTAAGCCAAAGGACGGATGTACAAGACCTAAGCATGGGGGTAAAATCTGACCATGGAATTTGTGCGCTTGGGTGGCATCTGAGAAATGCCGAGGGCTTGGCTAATTTGTTGGCGAATTCGTTACCGGCGATACCAGTGTACCCATAGGAACTGAATATCAATATCAGATTCAGTTAAACAATATAAAATTCGTCTGATAGTGATTATGAGGGGAGAAATTTGGGATTTGAAAGCAATAGAAGAGAGAGCTTGAAGACATGAAAGTGAATCAGTGACGATAAGGAATTTATTCATTGGTAAAGTTGAGATTATATTGAGTGCTTCAATTATAGCAAAACATTCTGCTGTGAATGAAGATGCTATGGATGGGAGGTTATTGGAGAAAGAAATATCAATCTCAGGGATGTAAAATGAGTAGTCAGCCGCAGGGGAGACACAGAGCCATCAGTGAAGATAAGAATGAAAAGCGGGAAATTAATATGGTTAAAGTCAAGAAAGATGTTGTTCACAAAGTTGGAAGGTAAGGAATTTAAAGAAGTTCGTGAAAATTGTAGGGAATTTTTATTGGTGTGAGTGATAGAAGTAAGCAGTAAAGATTGAAAATTGGTTAGGTATAATGGAAGTTTGTTAGTTTGGATAATGTAATTATGCATAACTGTAAGATAATGTGCTGTTAGAGCGAGGACTGGCAGAGACTTTTGAACATAACGCCAAGAATAGTAAACCTCAAGGAAAGAATTAAAAATGTAGGAGTCTTTTTTGGATAAATGTTTTAGTAAGAATTTACTGGTGAGCCATTTAACTCTTATGTGAAGTGGTTGACATGACGTTTCGACCTCAATGGCAGTAGACGGGCTGGATTTCAAGGCTCCAATTATAGACTTTAGACAAGAATTTTGTAGTTTATTGATTTTATTAAGGTGTGAGAGGGCAGAAGAGCCTGAGAAGAAACAACAATAATCAAATTTGGCGCGTATGACAGATTTATAAGTAAGTAAAAGAGTAGGAGGGTTAGATCCCCACCATGAATTGGAGATGGATCTAAGAAAGTTAGACCAGCGGGTGACGAAAATGGTTAGGTCATGAAGGTGAGGAGTTTATGTTTAGACCTAAATATGTGTAGTTAGAGACGTAAGGAATTGAATAATCATTGATTGTAGTAGAAATACACTGAGGGTATTCCAATAGTATATTCCAATAAGTAGCGTCGTCCAATAAATATTAAGGATTTACATTTTTCAGGAGCTAATGAAAAATATGAAGATGATAGAACATAATGCAACGAACACAGTGCATCATTTTGAGAGGTAATTACAGAGTCGATTTGATTGTTGTGAGAATAAATAACCATATCATCTGCATATACAAGGCATCTGAAATTAAAAGAGTTCAAACGTTTGACTATAAAACACATCTAAATGTTGAAAAGAATTAAGCTCAAGCAACTGCCTTGAGGCAGACCGGTTATTGTAGAGCGTATTTAGGTAGAGCCAAAGGGGGAGATAAAATATATAATTCTGTGAGAGAGGAGTCGAGAAGTAAAATTTATGAAAGATGATGAAAGATTTAATGCATTTAGATGAGAGATTAAAAACGGGATGTTCACGAAATCAAAGGCCCCCCCGAATATCTATAAAGGTGGCAATAAGATATTCTTTATTATTGAAGGACTGATAAATATCGCTAATAAAGTTGGCCAGACAATCAGTGGTACCCCTTTCACGTCTGAAAGCATAATGATTGTCGGGTTGGATCAAGTTAGACTCTAACCACCCATCAAGTCATTCTTGAAAATGTATTCGACTACTTTTCAGAGCGAAGCTAAAACTATTGGACGAAAAGAGTTGTTTGAATGGGCTTTAGGTATCGAGATGACTTTGTATGTGGTCCAGGAAATGGGGATGAGATTAGAATTGATTAAATTATTAAGTATTTTGAATAAAAGATCTAGGGTGATGGTGGGTAGGTGTTTTAGCATTAAAAGAGGTATACAATCAATGCCGGAGGCAGCGGATTTACGCGAGGAAATACTGTTATTTAGTTCACCCAGAGTTAAAGGTAGACTTAAATAGTGGGCAGGAGATAATTGTGAGTATGTGGTTGAGGGGTTGGGGTAAGTTTCTGCTTCCGAAGAAGTATAACAGGGTACGACTTTTAGGCAAAAATCGTTAAACCACTCATCATTATGAAGGCGAGTAGGAGGAAGAATGCAATTATGAAAACGTTTGGTGGATTGTCAAAGTGAAATGATGGAAGAGAAAGGGTTGAGGTAATTATAGAATTTTTCCAGGCATATAATTTTTTTTATTTGATTAGACGAGTCGTAAAGGAACAAGCGTTATTGTATCAATAAAAATTATGAATGGAACCAGAGCGGCGATATGTTTGGAATAACTTTTTCCAACTTTAAACAGCTTCGGTGCAAGTGTAGTCCCACCAAGGAGGTAAGGGAGGATATAATTTGCTTATTTTGTGTTAAATTGGAATGAATAGTTTGCGGAGTCTGAGATAATTAGGGTAAGCTGGTTGTAAGCTTCAAGCGGACAAGACATGTTATCTATTGACGTAATTACGGTTTATAAGATCGGAGAATAAATTCCAATCCGCTTTGTTTAGGTTTAATTCCAAGATTGGCATTGATGTAGAGCTAACATTAGGAGAAGGGTTTCTAGGGATATTAATACTAGTATGATAGTGAAATGCCAAAAAAGTTAGAGCTAAGGAGTTTAGCCGGGTGCCAGGTAGAAAAATTTGAATCAGTCAATTCGATGATAATTACTGGCGTACCGATGAAATTGGTATAGAGTTGTTTGAGGTATTGATCATTGTTATATTTCGTATATGTGACATCGGGAACAATCGTGTTGAACGAGATAGTGTTCGTAGTATCGCTCGCGGGTATTCGTCAAAGGTTAATTGCGTTGTTATCAATAGGGCTATAACGTCCGAAATCATGGCGTTATCGTACGTGAATTTAATATCGATGTCCGTATTAAGAACAGGATGATTTATTATCATGTGTTGTAAGTTTGTAGAGATTTGAAAATTATGTAAATTTGAAGTATCAGAGGTAGACTTACGGCTCTTCCTGTGTTTGACTTCTTGGTATTCGGTGTCTAAGTGGTGAGATGAAGCAAGTGTAGAACGTATTTTGTTTTGCGCAGGTTTTTGCCCGAGAAGGCGGCCGTTGCCGCTAACCTTCAACTACAAAATTAGATTAATTTAATTATATGAATAATAAACGAGACTCCGTATTGGTTAACGGGCGATAAGCAACCGTTAACGACGAAAGGTAAGTCGCGACTGAGGAAAAAATTTAAAACGTTTGAAAGTTGTTCCGAAGAAAGCTTCATGATTTAATAAAACCGTAAACACTTTTAAATCATTATCGCATCAACAAATCGATTGGCACTTTAATAGGAAATGAATTACAACTAAATTTCCATGCCTGTGATGGATAGTTACACCAAATCTCCGCGTAAAATGTCCTTAGTTATAATTATTATAGTTAATTAAAGTATTTTATTTGTTTTAATTACTGTTTAAATGTTAACGGTACTTGTTATTTGTCTATTTTTATAAAATGTATCAATTATAACATTGCAATACCTCTAACAATGCCAACTGTGTATTAATAATCGTATTTATGTGCTATTATAAGTTCCTCACGTCTTACTTTAGTATGATCAAGTTTGTGTTTATTTTCATGTTATTGTTGAAATATATTGTTCTATTTATTTCTAAAATAATTATTGAAGATTATATACTCTAATTGAGTAAGAAATAAATGCATGTACTCAATTTTTTTGTATTTTTAAAACGTTTATCATGGTATCCCATTTTCGTAGTTGGCGGTAGTAAGAATCATTTCAACATATTTAATACATTTGGTAAACACAATTTTGATGATTTAAGGTTTTTCTTTGTTTTTAATGAATATTTACAGTTTTCACAGCAACCAACTATTTTTCAAATTATTATGAACAGTTTATATTTTTATAACTATTTTCTCTAACACCAATGTGAATAAATATATGATAAAAGCTCAGAAGT